TCTTCTCTCCCTGTTCAAATTACTCCCACACAAATGGTGGATGTACTGTGAGCAGTGGGGAGGACACCAGTCGGCGGAAATGGCCTAATCAAGCGACTACGAATGCTGACTTGACCTATAGCCAAACAAGGAAGATCTCCCCGCGGAGCATCTGAACTACACTACACAGCACAGATCTTGGTGCAAAATAAACATATTTTGCTATTCGGAGAGAAGACCAGCAAGTAAGAATAACTATGTAGTCAATCCGCAGAAGGAGGTTCGCTCCCTTTTGTACGTGGCATGACCCGTATCTATGGCATTACATTGGTGTCTCCCTCGAGGGTAGGGAGACGAACCTTTTCATGCCACATGGCAAAAGGAAATAAAAGAAATACTTTAATACGAAAAATTTGCTATAGAAAACAACATGCCTCAAATTTTTATTACTTATTTAGACTCATCTTTCGCGCATAAGCTTGTTCTATTTGTGACTCGATACATCACATCACTTACACGAACCTCAGGATACATGCCGGCAGAGTCATACAAAACAATCCTTTAACGGATTGCCGGGCCTGGAAAAATGGCTGAGACTGACTGAGATTTGTCTTGACTCTCTGTTGGCCCATGGGTCGGGCCAGCACGCTAGATTCCTGAGAATTGGGGCGTAAAGTAAAATGAGAGAAAAGGTGGAAGTCACATGGCCTTGGACACCTGTGGAAATGGAGAAACCGGAATTAACTACGTGGTAAATCTCAATAAGCTGTGAGACACCCACTCTTCAATAACATGCAGCCCCCTGTAGGTAATCTGACCAAGAAATCGTGTAAAGACTATACTTCACGATTGGGGCCAAGAGGCTTCTAGAATGTCAAATACAAAAGCGCAAGCAACGTTACGCAGAAAATTACTGCGAAGGCATGGCACAGACGCATGGCTTCCACTGAATGGCGTTCCGGGGTTGGACAACTCCCTTGCATGTCTTACAACCATGCGATCTCCCATCACGACCACACCGCTTTACATTGTTTGCAACACGAAATATTCAATAACGATATCTAATCATACGTGGTATTGCCATACTTCTTCGCTGGTGACGTTTTTTATTGGGGTAGCTCATGGCGGCATTTTAAGGCGATATCGCTTTGTTACCGACTGGACAAGATCACGAGAATCACACAATTTGAGACCATATAATGGTTGATTGCAGTGCAATTATCTCATTGAATGTCTAGACTACTGCTATGGCAGCTTTTCCCATATTCCTACATCCAATTAATGCTATTAGTCTAATGAATGTCATGGAGATCGTTGATCATATCCGTCCGTCGCCACGGCGTAGTCGTGGATGGAGAGTGGTATCCCAAAAAAAGCAAAGTCCAACTCCAAAAGCTTGCGCTTAAAAGGTATTAAAAGATATTTTCATGAACCGCAAATGAAGAACGAACAAGTGTCGTGAGAATAGTGCCCCCCTCTACAGGACAGCCTGCATCTCGAGGACAGGAACCTTGAGCTGCTTCTGCTGGCAAGTGACGCGACGGTTGGAGTAGGCCTTGTCACCGCCGGCCTTGTAGTGAGCGTTCTTCCAGGTCTTCTCGGTACACTCAGGTGTGAAGGTTGTGTTGCCCTTGGCTTCGTACCAACCGCCCTCCTTGACGCAGGACCAGTGCTGGAAGATGGCGATGACGCCGGACTTGCGGTTGTACTTGAAGGAAGCAGAGTCGCCCTCGAAGGGAACATCGCAGTTGTAGTCGGTGTTACCAGTGAAGAAGTCCTTCTTGGCGTCTGTGGACTTGGCTGAGCACTTGCCCTCATAACCGACACCGCGGTTCTGGAGGGTGAAGGTGACGGTGGCAGAGTTTGTCTGCTTTGTGGGAGTGTTTTGAGTGTAGACAGCCTCGTACTTGAAGTCCTTGACAGTCCATTCAGTGACCTTGCTGCCCTTGTCCATACAAGTCTCTCGCTTGGTGAGAGTCTGAGGGAGAGCCAGGGCGGAGGTAGCGAGGCAGAGAAGGGTGAAGAATTGCATCTTGGCGATTATTGAGAGGCTATACTGAAAAAGTAGTATGGTTTGAGGGAGGAAGATTTGAGAAAGATTTATGACTGATTATAAGTTGAGCAGTGAGGAGGTTGGTCCGGTAAGAGACTAGGTAGACTGCGGGGTGATGAGGATGATCTTTGTCTGTGATGGGAGATGATGATCTATGGAGTTGAAGTCAATTGATGATCTTTTCAACCTCGAATACGCGAGCGGACAAGGCCTTCTTTATACTTCACCCTAACTCACTTGGCTACCAGTGAATTATGCATATCCGTGACTCAGATAAGGACCGAATTCACTACATTCTCAGCACAAGCGTTGAGAATGATGGAGAATATGTCAAGTGACGTGCTACAACTCACCCAACTTATTACACTTGCTGGGATCTCGTATTCCCGCCGTGGGGCCATCCATGTCTTCAGCTCGGCAGTCCGGTACGGTTTTGTGCATGCACAGCGCGCCTAAAATAGCAGCTCAGGCAACTAACAAGGTCCAGAACCTCTGCCTACAGGGTGATACTCTTGCTTTCCTTTGTGCTGTTATTGGTTCTTGATTCGAGTTATTAGGGGTACGTTGTATTAATCATGCTGGTCTATGCTACCCTGACGGACGGTGCGGGACGGAAAATATAATGCGTTGTCGAAGGTCCCAGGAATGCCATAATCTGTAACGGACTACCCCAAAGAATCACAAGCTTCCACTGAATGCCTGCCGGGGTCTTCTGTAAGTCAGCGTTGAAGACCCGCTTACAGTGGAGGAGTCTAGGAACTAGGCCGTAGGTCCGCATGGAACATTGACGACTGGTGGGCTTTTCTTTATGCTTGTTTGATCACGCTCAAGGTTCTTTTACAGCTTTATTCGAGTTGAGCTTCTACAATGAGTTAGTTGGACCTTCACCAGCCACCACAGGTATTGACGGCAGACGGGCTAACCGTCGTCAAACAGTTTTCTGTGCCGTCAAAGTTCAAGGGTGGCTGGCAGATGCACTAAGCTAACGCGACAATCGAAAGATCACTAACATGATGGATCATGGTAACTTTCATGGCATATCAAAGCTCTCATGAGGTAATTATGTTGGGAAAACTCTTCAAGCTTGGTCACTAATTAGGACTATAAGAATAAAATAGTAACAAAGGATCAAAACATTGGACAATTTTTGCAAGCTTGCGACGAATTATATCGCGTAGCACGGTGCACATTCACGATGCATGCATGCAAGTCAAAGCAAAAGGCATGATAACACGACAGGCAACAGCAACGAATCCTCGTGGCAAACTCACAGGTTACGCTTTGTGTGTCTTGCCCTGGCAGATTCTCAACTTTCAACTGTCCCAGTCCTTGTCGAAAGCGGGAAAAGCGGAAGAAACCTCAAGAAGCTGGACTGTGCCGTGTCTAATTCTAGACCCATCTCACCAATCTATGATCGGCGAGTCCACCTCTCCGCATAAACGAGAGGAACAACGACGGCCATCGAATGTTTGAACAGGCACGGGGACGGGGAGACTGAGAGGCACAGGCTGGGCCCCGTTACGGTGACCGTCAGGTGGCTTTACTGTTCATTCACCGTCCGCAACGTTTCTGTCAATAATAACTCCAGATATACGGATACACACACGTTTATTATTACGCGTGCCACAAACAACTTCCAATGACGGCCATCAGCTGACTCCAAGAGAGCGGTCTGCGGGCGATTGCCTCGTTGACATTTCACGACGCTATCCGATGGTATTGACCGCTAGAGATCTAGGCCTGTGGAACCCCAGAAGGCCTCGGCAGGGATCTTCCCTCTCAGCTCATGACTTGCATCTGCCCGCCCCGTCATGCATGGTGTTGCTAAACATATCGACAGGCAAACAATAATTCCTAGCTTGTCCTTGTGGATGTGGGCTTCCGACGTTTACGTGACATCGTTTTTTCTCTATATTCTGCTCAATTGCCGTGTTTGTGCATATCTTGCAAGTTTTCTTTTTTGAGCATCTGCCTCGGACGGAGCCACGTTTATTGCATGTGCGACGGCCCATATCAGTATCTTACCGGCCGCCGACGCCGGAGCCGATTGACGACGACGGGACATTTGTGATCCCGCTGTCGGGAGTCTGGGAATTTGTTTGTGGGATGGTGCGTGGTCTTGTACGATGTCGAATATTGGTTGGTACCGAGGAATGACGTCCACTGTCTAGGTACCGAGCGGTCTTGTGTGTAGGTCGAGGGTGAACCTCGCCTTCTGCGAGGACTTCGTTTCTATGTGAAACCTTTTTGTTTGGCTACCTCCTTGATTGCTTTCTTCGTCTACGCCCTGTACTTTGAGGGCCTAGACGTTTGTCAAGCACTTGAATAGCTCCCATTCGACAAAGAGCCAGTATCTAACCGAAGTGCGGCTCTTTCGTACATCACAGTGGCTTAAGCCACCGTCGGCGTTCAACAACACCCATCTGTACGATTTCGGACTTTTACTGACTGCGATGCTACGTTGAACCTTTGCCTCTTGTATATAGGCGAGTAATGGAACGCTCGTCTCGTGTTCTCGAAGTCCTTCTGCATTGTCACAGGCGATTTGCCGCCGAAGCGATTCGTTTTAGGAAATGGTCACGTACCATTGGCCTTGAAGCAAACGAATCTGAACGGCGTGCAAAGGCCCTTTTTGATCTGTAACCATCGAGTCACAGTCAAGGTCAATGTAGTGGCATCACCTGTTTATTGAGAGAACAAACTTGTTAAGCAGTCCTTCTCATGCCACTGCATAAAGAAAGTAAGACGTCGTGACGACGATAGACTACGGAAACAGGAAAATCATCCTCGGCGTACTTGCGGCTTATGGTCATACTTCAGGTTTGATGTACTATGTGAAGGAGTGAAATGAAACATGCTCTGACTCTGAGACGCATATGTATGAGAGGAAAGAGCTGTCCGAGTTGATTCAAAGCCGAAATTATAATGTTTGCGACTAGATATCTCTAATAGTCATTACTCAAACCCATCAAGGAAGCCGCTTGCCCGAGCGTGTAGCCTGACCAACTTCAGAGTTGGTAGTATCCTCGGCATATCTCTTATACGCAATGATGTATCGTTCATCGGCACTCCAAGTCTCCTTCACACTGTCGCGACTGAGAATTGCATCATACCACTTCTTCCACCTCTTCCAAGTCTCTCCATCTTTACCTTCCCCAGATTCCGGGATACCATGGCCGCCCTCCTTGTAGTGATCAATTAGGAACAGGCGCTTCGCCCATGGTGCTAAGCAAATATCCACGAGACTCAGAGTCGAGCCCAGAAACCATGGGCCTTCAGTGTCCATCTCTTCAACGAGGGATTTGATGCGTCCTCTCAGTTCTTCTCTTGCATCATCAAGGCTGAAAGTCTTGTCAGGAGTGTGCTGCATGAGCTTGTACCATGAGGGAATGATGCGTGTGCTGATATGATCGATCCAGATACGACATCTTGCCCTCTCATATGGATCGGTAGGAAGAAGCTGAGGCCCATACTTAGACTCGTCCGTGAACGCCTCATCGAGATATTCACAAATGATGTTGCTCTCGAACAGAGGCTTCTGCACCTTGCCCTTCGGATCAACGGGCACTGCAAGAGTAGGGACCAATCCACGGGGATTCATGGCCATAAAGTGAGCCTCTTTCTTGTATGGGTTTATCTCTACATATTGATGAGGAATCTTCTTTTCGTGAATAGTGATCCAAGTTCGTTGGACGAAAGGGCAGAACCAGCCTCCGTAGAGCTTCACCGGATGTTCTTCAGCATACTGAGCAGCAAACTTAGCGGCCGCGCCACTTGGTTCTGGAGGTAGAGAAGTGTCGACGTTTGTCATGATGGCCCTAGTTCTGATGTTTATGTACCTTATTTTTCTTGACGAAGTTGGAAGCAGGACTCGCAAGAAATAAGGATGTTGCATGTTCCAAGGTCGATGGGCTGAGGTCGAGTTAATGACGTCGAAGCAAAGGTGGAGTTTAAACGATGAAATGGTTCGCAGACGACATCTTGTTCAATGATTACGCTGCACAACCGTCATTAAATTGTTGGTAGGTATTTCGAGCCTTCAAGTCAGTCTTGATATCTCAAGACTTATACATATCGATAAAAACTTATTACAGTGGGCGTTGGCTGACCATGGCTTCCATCCATTGAGCTTAGACATTAGGTGCCTATGACATATGCTGGACAGTGCATAATGGTATTTGACACCGTCTTCTTATCGTTATCGCAGCTATCAAGTTAACCAAGACATTTTATTCCACCAACTCTTGCTAACTAAACCATAAAATGTCAGATTCAAGAGCGTCGCGGTTCACGCCGCAGAACAAAACTACCAATGAACGACTCTCCACGCATACGGTCGGTCTCGTCGCCCTCTCAGATTTCCGCAAGCGACGCGCCGAAGTCCTTGAACAACAGGAGCGTGAATCTCGAGAAGCTGCATTTTCAGGCACGTCCACTCCGGATGCTTCCTTGACAGGCACTCCTGACAACGCTGGCAGTGATTCTGGAAGTGGTACGCAACCATTGAAGAAGAAGAAAAAGAAGCAGGGGAAGAAACTGTTATCATTTGACGATGAAGAGGGTGAGGATGAGGGGCCCTTGATAAAACCTACAAAGACCAAGAAGGCCCGCGCAGACGATACCGAAGGTAACGAAGGCGAGATCAAGACCAAATTCAAGGCAAATGCCTCGGTGGGCATAGTGCCCAAAGCCATGACGAAAGCTGCGTTGCGCAAGGAAGCCGCTGAACGAGACGCATTACGTCGTGAATTCTTGGCTATCCAAGCAGCCGTCAAAGCAACCGAGATTGCGCTACCTTTCGTATTTTACGACGGGACTAATATTCCTGGTGGAATCGTCAGATTGAAGAAGGGCGACTTCGTATGGGTGTTCCTCGACAAAAGTCGCAAAGTTGGCGCTGATTTGGGCGTGGGTGAAAAGTCCAATGCAAGGAGGGAATGGGCCAGGGTTGGAGTGGACGATTTGATGCTTGTTCGCGGAACAGTCATTATACCTCACGTAAGTTTTCTCGCTGGCGCTTGTTGTTCACAGTTTCTGATTGCCATCTAGCATTATGACTTCTACTTCTTCGCCATGAACAAGACACCCGGTCCTGATGGCGAGCCTGTATTTAAGTACAGTGCGGAACCTCCTCGAAAACCCGAATCGATCGACAATGCCGAATCCAGTAAACCTCTCGTCACGCCCGCCTCCAAGGCTGATCCTGCGGACGCGCTTCCCGATATCAACACCCTTGAAGGCGCTGACGAAGATCCCACTCTTACTAAGGTTGTCGATAGGCGGTGGTACGAGAAGAATAAACATATCTTTCCTGCGAGTATGTGGCAGGAGTTTGACCCCGAGAAGGACTACGGGAAGGAGGTGAGGAAGGATGCTGGTGGTAATACGTTCTTCTTCTCGCGCTGAGATGGTGCTGTCGACTGTCACAAAACAACAATATGTGTTTGGAAGTGGGTTGTGTCGGCTCCTTGGGCGTTGGATATATCACGAGCGGATCACCTTTGAATATGGCTGAGAGGTCATAGAGACACTCAAGACGCGTGGGAGAAGCTTCAGCCGAAGAGCATCCAGCCTGCCCAACACGCGCCTGCGAGCACCCACCAACCAGGCCAGAAGAGCATGAGGAAGACCATATTCCCGCTGCCGAGAATGAAGACGGCGAATTCGTACCAGAGCTTTTTTCGTAATCTCTGGAAATTCTTAGAGTTCCAAGCACTGGCAACAGCTTGGGTAGACATGTTGAAGCTGTGAAAAGCGCTATACTTTGCTGCGATGAGGGCGTTTAGGGACACAATCTTGCTCCCCTGGACGACGGCGACAAACGCGCTGCTCGCGATGATGCAGGCATGGAGGCAAAGGAAGAAGGAGATTGAACCGACAAGGCTCTGGAAGCGAAGGGCAATTTGTAGTGACGGAACGATCAACCTGGTGATGTCGGACCAGGGATAGGTCGAAACGTTCAGATCCACTTTGGAAGCCGTTAGAAGTGTAGCTTTGTCCATGATCTCGATCTGGGGATGGAGTCTCGATTAAGTACCGAAATGAACCAGCGGTAGATCGAGGCTTGCAACAGACAGCACAAGAATATTAGAGAAAAAACGAGAATGTCTTTGACTACCTATTCAGTAAACCCCACCATCTGCAGCATTGATTGACTCTTTGGTGTTTATATAAATTATCTCGAATTCTAACCCCCACTCTGCATCTCCATAGCATGCCCAACACCTCCCGCATCCAACGGCAAACGTGAGGCTTTTTACCGTCTAGAACAGTCACAAGCTCGAAACTCGAGAATCACATTTCGCTTCTGCCAAACGTAACTTGCTGATATGAAGCCTCAGGCCCGCTTCAGGCCCCTCATCCCGTGCAGAGTGAGCGATTGAAGGGTTGCAACGCGACGACCCACGGCGACACGTGGGGCCGCTGATTCGTTGCTCGGGAGACTATTATTGACGATTGAACAGCGAGCGCGGGATGGATCATGGCCTCGATGCCGGATCTAGATAGGTAGCGGGTGAGATCTTCAAGACCCTGAGTAGGGGACTTTGCTACACGTGGGAGTGAAGTCGGCTTTTGGGGGAGTCAGAGTTTAGCAAACATGGGAAAGTCAATCGTGCGAATTAGCATAGCATGGCGTCCAAGATAAGCCATTGTATGGAGTGCAGCGGGAGCCAAGCCCCAATGACAGACTCCACGTGGGAACCTGGCTGTCGTCGTTCGCTCGTTGAGGCCCGAGTATCAACTGACTGTTGGCCGTTCCGGGTTTTGACGATCGGGAGATCCCCGAGACGGAGCCCGGCATCTGTAAATCGCACTCCGGGTTTGTGAAGTGGTAGCAACGCTTGGCTAGGTACAATGAATAATAGAGAACCGAAATGCTTTCGCAACAGGTCTATCAATTCCTGTTGATGAGCCGCCAAGTCAATGGATCGTTGTTCGTTACTATAATTCATGTATAAGCCAGCACTCTCTGTCCATGCCTGACTGTATCGGGGAAACATTCCTATCTTTTATTCCATCAAGTAAAATCTCGTATGATTCGCTCTGTAGTAGGTAAATAAGTAATTTCGATCTAAGAAATACATGCAGCATTAATACCTAAACAGGATTCTCACTTGGGTTTCTTCGTCCACAGAACTTCCGAGGCGACAGTACTGTTCCCTATATTCCCTGTTTACGCGCTCGCCTTTTTCGCCTCCTTCAAATCACTTCGAGTCTGAACCAGCTTCGACATCTCCTTCGCAGTCTCAGATTCAAGCCTAGAAAAGCCCTTGATGACTCCTTCTCGATCACCCCTACCCATCTCTTGGCTCATCTTGAATTTTCCTCCCATGTGCGTAATCTCAATCTCGATTCCAATGATACTCTTCTTCAGAAGCTCGATGAACCGATCAGGGGCATCAGACACCTTCCAGTCTACAGGGTTGTCGCCGCCAGTAAAGCCCATGACATTAGTCTCGGCATGTCGGCTGAGATCAGAAATCTGTTTCGAAAGAAATTGTCCAGCCTCGTCGGTCTTTGTATCGTAAAAGATCTTGGCCCGGCCGTAGACTTGTGCTGCGGCGTAATTCCATGTTGGAACGACCTTTCCAGTCGTAGGTTTAGTTTCTGTGTAGAACTTTGGTGTGACATAGTGTTGAACAGGAGAATTGAAAATGACAATAACGTCTTGCTCGATTACATTATTCAGGTTTGGATTTTCGGTGAGGTTCTCGATCATGGCCTTGCTCTGAGGGTTGACTCTGGCAAGGTGACCCCGTAGCTTTCCCAACTCCGTCTCGCTTGTCTCATCTTCGATATCTAGAACGAAAGGGATGTGACTGGACTGAAGAAAGGGGAAGTTTGGGGAGGGAATGGCAGTAGTCAGAAGACCCAATGGGTTCTCTCGAATCAGCTTCCTGAGCACGGGAAGTTCGGTTTCGGCGTGAGGTCCTTTGATATACATTTTTCTTGAACTTGGATTTTCAAATACAAAGAGTATGAGTTGAGGAAGATACTGGGCAGAGAAAAGAATTTCAACATTTGTGGCGGGTATTTATTTGCCGACTGTGAAGAGTCATCCAAGGACTCTATACAAGCAGAGGCACGCCCTTGACCAATTACCAGAGCTGTAATAGCGATCCTAGTTATTGGCTTGAGTATCTCCTCGGAGCTTTGTTTTAGCCAGCGGTATCGAAGTCGATCATATGGAATCATTATAACATTGTATACGTTAAACTGCCTTACTTTGCCCACAATCGTTATAGTCATGTGGGAACTCATAAGGATGGCGGGCTCCAGTAGATCAGTCTCACAAGTCCATTCCTATTTCGTATATTTTTGACGATAGGCTTGTCTTGGTATGTGAAGCTGAGTCACAGACCATTAACAGAAGTGATGCTCTGTAGTAGTCAAACAAGCCTAGTCTTTAACAATTTCGTTGCAAACCTGTCATCAACTACCGGGACTTTACAGGCTGTAATGTCGAACCATATTTACAGCTGGACTTTGTAAACCAAATCTCTGATTGGTTATTGATGCGATCTTGGCTTTGGAATCATTCTTCAAGTTTGCGGGGCTGCGGGGTTGGAAGATGTCTGAATGGTTCGATGTTTTAAGCTGCATCTTTGGTTTTTACGACTCATCTAATCAGCTGGATTTTATTGCGTAACTATAAGTGACTTGACTGGAATTATGGCTGATTAAGGAAACATTAAGCAATCATCATTTTTGCCTTTTTTGGAAGTTGTATCCAGTTAAGAAGTAGTACGTGGGCGGCAAAGTATAAACTCACGGCTGGACAAAGACTTGTCTGCTTGTGTGAAGCTAAGG